TATATATATATATATATAAAACTGCTTACGTAATCCGTGGAAGATTATAAAAATAAAGAATACCATAATTCAAATGAATATATTCAATTTGTAATTTAAAATTTAATTTGACGCACATAACTTTTGCACTTAATACTATTATTGGATAATTTCTAAACAACATATAAAATGATATTTGAAAATATTTTTTACTAAAATTAACGTTTGATAATATAAAATTAAATAAAATGAAAAAACTAAATGATGTAAAAAATGTTGCCCTGGATTTTATAAATTATGTTCTACATATATTTAAAATTAATTTTATTTTTTAAAAATGCACTAATACCACTGGAAATATTGTTTCAATTTGAAAAATAATGAAAAGTTATACAACTTATAAGAGATTGAAATTTTATATAAATTATGTCTCAGAAAATAGTACTATGGCTAGTATTCATAGTCAATTCTTATATTCAAAACTGTCTTAAGTTCAATCTTGAAATGTCATGAATTAATCAGAAGAGAGCTGCATTAACGTCTTAAGACATTACTTAAAACAATCTTGAAATAAAAACCAGCTATGAATACCATCCTATATAAGACTAGCTCTTTACTGTTTACCTTCTATTTTTAATTTTTGTTTGTTACATCTGTTTTTTATCACATTGTTGAAATGAATATCGAATATAACAAAAATATAGTATTTACATATTTTATTTTTATTTATACTTGTATGATTTTAAATTTATATTGTATATTATTATATATTGTATTCTTACCATATATGTATAATAAGTAACAAATAATAAGTTTCTGATCTTAATCCGGGCTAAATACGGACTTATCGGATCATATCGAAAAATTAATATTCCTGTTCAAATGTTCATGTACATCAATTAAAAGACAAAGTATCGGCGATATGTCGCCCATCCCTATTAAAAAACAATATATGGTATTTTCTGAGAGAATGCAGACATGTAAAGGGGATTTAAATGAGTATTAATTATAATTAATATATCCTCCTATCGATCTTTAAACACGAGTCACCGTTCCTATGCCGAAATTAATTCGAAACGAACCATTGCGAAAATAAGTACAACTACAAGAACCGACGATCACTAAGAACATGATGTAAGAATAAGGTATTTCATTATGCATGATGGTGGGATCAAATTTAGTGAATCGAAATGTAGCCTCAAATATAGTGCGACACGATAGCATTGTGGAAATATATAATTTAAGGCTACTGAGAGTACTCCAACTATATTAAATCATGACGTCATAAACATTTGTAAAAACACTTGTAAAAATGGATGAAAAACTATCCTTATCTCCTTTGATAGTCAGTAAATAATCGTAAAAGATACGTAAACGAACTTTTTTCGATTCTTTATTGTCAGGGGAGATAAGGATAATTTTCATTTTTACAAGTGTTTTAAATAGATCTCATCATTTCGTTTCATCCAAATTCTCTTTATTTATAAATGATATGCAAGAAAAATCAACGTGTCATTTCTCGCTTATGACGACGTCACGATTCAATATGGCTAAAGTGACTACTCAGGAGTACTCCTTAACTTGAGATTAATAACCGTAATCTATTAACTTATACCGTAAGAATTGATCAATCAATTATTCTTCTCTCATTTGACGGTGATTAGTCAATACTTACAGATTACTATTATCAGAAAGGTTTTTCTCTGTTATTATAAACCAACTTTTAATCTGTCGCAGATCATAGAAGCCATAATGCTTTTTGCATTTGGGACAACTCTTGGATTGATCAGTACTGCGCATCTCGGGAGCGAATACCATATATTCTTACATCTAGAAGTATTATTTTATCTGAATCGAATTTTCAACATAATGACGTTCAATTAATATGGCTTTTAATTAAAAAGCATCATCGATTAAAAATCGTGACGCAAAACCAATTCTCTGATTATTTAGAATCTTAGTATATATACCTTTTTGTCTAATTAATACCTCTTCGCAGAAAATACAAAAATGAAAAGTCTTTTTTCACAGACAGCACTATAGAATACGTTACAAAAATTAATTCTGTTCGGCGTCGCAATACATCTTGGCCTATGATATCTCACGAGGTTAATATTAATTAAAATCTATACTTAGGTTGTTTTCCTTTTAGGAGACGATTGATACACAATCGTTGTTCTATCCTTCTTCAATAAATTTATTCAATAAAACAAATAGTATCGATTGTGTTCTAAAAGGAAAGCAACATTATGTAGTTAAAGTGACATCACTGAAATATAATTATACTGAAACACGCGACCCTCTATTGCCTTTGTTAAGTGATATGAGAGATAGCGTTTCAATATTATATATGATGTCTTTTATCATAGAAATATCATTTAGAACCTTCTTTATCGGATTGCGATATCAGCAAATGCGCGTTTCAATATTATATTTCAGTGAGTTTAGGATCATTTATACTGACCATAATCTGTAAGACTTGATCATAGTTGAATGAGAGAGGAATAATCGACTATAATTGATCAATTCTTACAGGATTATGGCATAAGTTTATATTACATAGATTACAACCTGTGTAAATGATCGTGAGTATTTGAAACCGGACGTATGGAGATAAATTCGCTAAAAAAAAAAAAGATACATTCAGTAGAGGAAACAACAAAGAACGTATAAATTCAAATACAGAGAAGCATACATATGTCCGAATCAAAGTTCCAGTTAGTAACCATGATATCTATTCTTAAAAAGAACGATTCGTCCGAAGGATACTTCATTCATTGAACAGCTCAAACTTAATAGTCGTATCATTCGGACGCAACAATACAAATGCCACTAATTACTTCATTTCTCTTCGATTGAATTGCTTTTTAATTTCCTGTTAGTTTCATATTTTTAATGTTCGTCATTTCGATATCATTGATTAATAAATATCTTATCTGATATCTATTTTCCCATTCAAACACGGTAGATTTACAGCGGCAAATTGTTCTTTCAGTTCAGCATTAATTCCAATCTTTGAATTTTGATTGGAAGCTGTAATAGCCGTACTGATGAGAAAGACTTTTTTGTCTGTGGGATGTGACCAAAAGTTTGCTTCATAACTACAGGTTTGACACTTATAAAAGAACTGTGTCAGTAATCCTCGGCGACGTGAATTTATAAGTATCCAATCTTTAAATTTGCACTCAAATCCTGGTGCATGACCATCAAATACCCGATGCATCTCTTTCATAAAGAAAGAAATATTGATAATACGATCACCTTCAGGCTCATGCTCTTGGATACGATTTATACCTGGAATGTCGTCTTCTTCACAAATTCGGACATTTTCATATATATCTTTATTTAGCTTTGTATCCAAGTACGTTTCTAAAGTATTCATTATTTTTGAATTCATTGGCCTTGTTTCCAAATACGTTTCTAAAGTATTTATTTCGTTCGAATTCATTGGGCTTATATCCTGGTACGTTTCTAAAGTATTTATTTCTTTCGAATTCATTGGCCTTGTTTCCAAGTACGTTTCTAAAGTATTTATTTCTTTTGAATTCATTGGCTTTGTACCTAGGTTCGTTTCTAAAGTGTTCATTTCTTTCGAATCCATTACTTCAGATGACATGAATGAGTTTGACTCCATTGCTTCAGGTGATATGAATGAGTCTATTGACTCAATGGATTCACTTTTAATAATATTGTTAGCGATATAGTTGGCTGCTAAGGCTGCTTGTTCCATCATCTCTCTTTTACGTCGTCGCCTGCAAAAAATAATAAAAGTATTGTAAAATAGAAGCGATTCTTTCAAAATTCATTGTTAAAAGGGAGCAACTTGTTGAATTTACGATATGTTATTAATAGAGGATTCCTGAATTTTTTAAATTTAAAGTTGGGCACTAATGAAGACTAATAATAAGTCAAAACGTTTGCGTTGTACGAAACATAATAATCAATTAAATTGTATTTCTTTGAACAACCTACATTACTTATTATAGCCACGATACTGATTATATTCTTATTATATTTTCAGATCACTCAAATAATAATTATATTGATTTATTCTATTCAGAAAAATAGATTAAATCATTTTTTAGATGAATATTTGTTATGTCAGGAGTTCCTTATTTTTTGTATCTCTATTTTTAATCATTATATCTTTTTCGTCCCCATCGCCAAGATTTAAAAAAAAAACGCAATTCTTTTTACTTGTAAATACTTGTTGCAATATAAAAATGTTTATTATGCGAGTCGAACTGCAAAGATTTAAAAGAAATAGAAGAGATCATAAGGGTCTTCCGGAAGACATTGAACTTTTAATGGATTAAAAGATCTTGAATATAATAACTATGAATAGTAATCAGATTGAAGATTTGAATGCTACTACTAATCCATTACTAAAATAAGTAACTGTAATGGTATCAGCGTAATCAATAATGCATTACTTCCTGAATAAACTTTATGCACAATTACATGCAATCAGGATGGAGTAAAATATATTTTCTATTTGTATTTGTGTTTGAATTGGTTGTGTAAAAATTCATTATAAAAGTTTAATTTAAATGAAGCTTTATTAGTGTTCATGATGAAATGAATAACATTGAACATTGTGCCATGAATACGTTTTTTGTTTAAAAAAAGCCTAACTTTAATAGAAATTTCTTAAAAGATGAAAATTTGAAAGCATCATCACATATAGTAAACTGACTATCGAATAGTCTAACTGTGAGAACTCTCGTCAGCAAGCGGGATTCGATTTCCAGCCAAAGTAATATTTTTCGCAGTTATTAAATTTCATCAACATATGACAATTCTTATTTAAAAGATGCTTATTAATATCAAAAAATTAAGTCTATGTTTGGTGCAAATTTATTGTCATACTGCTATTGTCAGAACTGTTTTAAAAATGAAATAACATAATGAAATATAATATAATTTTGACATTAAAACAATTCCTTCAACATATGGCATGGCATAATTATAGAGAATACTAACCTTAAAACAAATTTTTTCTTTTTAGAAAGTCTTTTACTACAGAGAGTTAAATATCTACCATGTCTACCATAGTTTCTTCCCATACTTAATGTGAATTTGTGACAATTTCACTACAAGAAATTGAGGTGTTATGAGACACTTTTTTTCGATTCAGTTCTTCAATATAGAATATATATAGAATTAACTTGTATGTAAACATATGGTTAGCTAACTTGAAATTTTTCCTTTCCTAAAAAGAAGAAAAAGAAATAAAAAATTAAAATTGATATTTGTATAGTGTGTCTATACAGGGCTTTGTAAGACACTCATGGAGTTATATTAATACACCTCAAAAATTAATAAATTATGAACTATTGGAAAGCGAATTCTTTTGCTTTTTTTCTTTGCAATGCCTTTTCTTCTTCATTACTCTGAAAGCATTTATGAAATTATATGAAATTATATGAAATCTTGATATTATATGATACAGATAATCAATCATTATACAAATAATTGCTATCAATCTCATTCATAATGTATTATTCTAAAAAAAAATGAATTATATAAAATATTTATATCTTAAAATTAAATTTAATTCTTGACAAATATCATTTTGAAATTTTATTCTGACAAAATTATAGCAAATTATTTTAACACATTATTGCAAAATTTTTCTTCAATTCATGTTATTATTGTGCAATGTTTTCATAATTTACTCATTGAGGCGATTATATGCATACAATATATGGGGTGTTTTTTTTTGTGGCTGAACTATTAGGTGTTGGAATTAATTCGTAGCGTTTTTAATGAAAGAATGTTATTTATTTCACATGAGCATTAAAAAATACATTAATGAAAGTACTTCCCATCACTTGTAAAACGCTACGAATTAATTCCAACACCTAATAGTATAAAGTTTTGGAAGTTAAGGTGGTTCTTTAGTAAATCGAGTTACCCTAGAATTTAATTTTTTTACATAATAAAGTCGAAGTACCGAAATTGATGTATACAAAATTCTACAGTAGGTTAACAATAAAATAAAAGAAAAAAATGTTGAAAATGTAACCTTTCACGTAAAATCTGACAGATAAGGCTCGCAAACGCTTCTTTGACTAACTGCACACAAATCTTATCATAAATTTTTCTGGAAAATGAGATTATAATAGTTTAAAAAATTATGATTTTAATGATCATAAAAAAAGTAATAGGTCAACGACCATTCTGGAAAGATATTTACGTATAAACTTGCATATAAATTTAACCTCGAAAAGTAAACATAACTTCATCTTGTTTTTCATTCGATAAAGATGTAACTCTTGATCGTATGTTCATTATTATTTCATTAAAATAAACATGTAGTTCTAATATTTTATCCAAATTATGCAAATTTTGTAATTGGATGGGCCCTTGTGAGACACCCCAAATTTTCGGCACTTTACTAAAGAATTACCTTAAAGTGAGATATTATGTTTGGCAAAAGCGAGAAAGAAAGTTGTAGTGCAGGCATAAAAAACAGACCTATGATTTATATAAGGAACAAGAAATACATAAAGATAAAAGAACAGAAAAAAAAATGTTATATCTGACCTTAATTTTATATTCGATTTACTGATTCAGCCCGACTCTGAGTCAATGGTCTGTTCTGTTTAGCTGCAAAAGAAAAGCTAAACTGTGCAAGAAATGCAACTAAAAGGAACAAACTATTGACTCGGAGTCGAGTCGAGTCGAGTCAGTAAATCGAATAACTATTATTAGATGAAGTTACAACAGCAACGGAAATGCCGGCGCCCTGTCAAAAAAACACTGAATTTTCGTCTTTTGTTTTAACTGATATTGAGAAAAAACTCACAAGCCGGTATCCACAGTCCGTTCTTAAGACTATCTCAAGCAATTGGCCTCTTTTTAGCTGAGCTTCTTGCACGATTCATTTTTTTTCTTTTTCTTTCCAACGTGAAGAGAAAAGGAAGGAAGATGAACAATGCAAGAACTTCAGCTAAAAGAACAGACCTAAAGGTACCTTTTCATGCTGACGCTCGACGCTCATTTTTGGCATCAAAGTCACATGATAAGGTACATTTTCAAGTGCTAAAATAAGCAACTGGAGCGACAGATTTGTCACTCGTTATCCAGCAACTGAAATTTTATAGTTTGAACAGTTCCAACTACAAACGTCAAACGCTCAAACGCTACTGATAGTGCTAATTAGAGACTGGCCGTAAGGATTTCATCAAATTTCTTCGAAGAAAAAGGAGTATAAGCTATCTCACTCTTCCATCAATAGCGATGTGTATATATCATACATACATACCGCTATTGGTGGAAGAGTGAGATGGCTTATATTTCTTTCTCGCTCGAAGAAATTTGACAAAATTCTTATTTTGTCAGTCTCTATGCTGACATAATGGATGCATTCAGTACTACAATCGCTCAGTGAGCTCTTATATCTAATTGTATATTTTTAGATCTAATGGAATATGCCAATCAGATGCAAGCGCTCACTAAGCATTTTTCTCGCATCGACTGTTTGTCAATTGGTCAGTTTCTTACGGCTTAAGATTTAAAACACCTATTATAGATCCGGATTTACTCCTTAAAATCTCATTGTAGACACGCTTTAATCGGATTTAATAATAACAATAATAAATAACATAATACAAATAATAAAATCAAATGAAAAAAATAATAAAAATAATATATAATAATAATATATATTTTTTTATTATATATATATATATATATATGTATATATATATATATATAAATTCTAAACACTACTAAATATGTATTCAAAATCATATTATTATGTGTATTTTGAATATTGAAATATAAAATAGGTTCTTCTATCGCGCATTTCCATGAGAATGCAATCAATAAATTTTTCTTATTTAGAAATACTACCCTACATTAGGACATTATGAGTATGACATATGGTATAACTCCTAATACTGGTATATTGATATAATGATTGTTACAAATAAGACATTTGTCTTAGTCTCTATCAAGTTAAAACAAATATTTGTTTGTTATTATAATTAGTATCGTCGAAATAAAATTTTCTGTCTCTAAATATTATAGAATTTATTTTACCATTATTGTCTGAGCAGACGCTGCATTTAATTTGTAGTGATTTAATTCAAGTATTTATATATTTAAGTTAACAAAATCTAATTTAAAACATGTTTGAATTGATAAATATATACTAACAGTCCATAACTGCTGTATTTAGTTGAATCAATTAATATTTTTTTTAACAACTTTTCTCGATGTGATAATTTCAGGATGTTTTAACAGTTTCAAAAATTAAACAAAAATAAAAACTTCGTCCTCTTATGATAGAGATTCTCTTCTAACCACATATGCCCTTATGACTATAGAGACCTCTTCTAATCACATATGACAAGATAAATTTTAGATTTTGAAATAGAATTATAAGTCCATCACAATTCGTTGATAAACTGAATAATCAAATGCAACAAAGAACAATTAGTAAAAAATAATCATGAACAGTACATACAGTAAAAATATATATAAAGTGTAACAAGAATAAAGTAAAAAATCTGCAGTTAAGATATAAAAAATATAATCAAATATTAAAATATAACAGACATATAATTGCATACAATAATGGTAGTCAAAATTTTCACATATTGTTTTATATATATTTAATATTTCAACTGTTAATAATTCACTAATAATAATTAATATATTACTAATTGTTCTTTGACTTTATTCTTATTACGACTTATTTTTCTAATATATAACATGTGATTATTTATTTTTATTTTTTATTGGTTTCCCATTCTCTGCAGCATCTAATTATTCGACTTACCAACAGATTAGAGGAATTTGTAATTCTATTTTAAAATCCAGAATTTATCTCAACATGTGCAATACAGAATGTCATGCTTTTATATTTATTGTTCAATTGATGAAGATGGTTCAAATTAAACAGAGCCGAAACATCCAGCAATTTATCGATATTAAATATGTGATTTACATGTGATTTATATGCGCACTGACGTTTGATTATCAGCTCCATTCTAAAATAATTATAATAAAATATATACACACTTTCGTACCCATGCTTTCTTTCGGGAGAGTCTATAGAAGGACGGAGGCAGCTTTTTTGCGCTATACTTTACCATTGAGTCGTACAAATTATAAAAATATATACTTTTATATGCGAAATTACGATTAGAAATTGTAAAATATTCGCTCGAAACAAGTTACTTCAGGTACGTTCGGGTAAACACCAGAAAAGATTATTAGCCATTAGTGCTGTTTCTGTTTGTATTTTTTTTAAGGTGCCTTTTCATTCTGACGCTCGATGCTCATTTCTGTGTCTAAATAGATCACGTGATCAAAATAGATATTCGCTTGATATTCGTCTATTTTTATTACGTTGCATATCGCGCTGGTGTGTAGGAGCCATAAAGATAAAACTGGAAACACAATAGGTCTATTCTTTTTAGCTGAACTTTTGCACCAGTTCATCTTTTTTCTTTTCTCTTCAGAACCTCTAAATTCTTGAAAAGAAACGTATACAAAATTTCAGAATAATACTATAGTATATATAACGTATACTGTAGTATTTCTCTAGACTTTCATATATTGTACAATATGTTTTATTTCAAGAATAGAAGCCCAGGAGAAAAGAAGAAGAAAGATGAACTGGTGCAAAAATTCATTAAAAAGAACAGGCCTAATGAAAAGCACAGGCAACAAGAAATAAGAGATTTCAACCTATCAGAAAGCGTCCATTCTGGTATATATGATTTCTGATAGGTTGAAATTTGTTACTTTCTATTCCTATTGCTCGAGTTTTTCATTGTGTTTTCAGCTTAATGATTGGGACATTAACCTACATTAACCTAAGGAATATAGGAAGGACCTAACCTAAGGACCCTAACCTAAAGACCCTAAGAAGACAAAGCAGGGGATTAATAAGAAGAAAAAGTACCTAAGGAATAAAATTTGCAAAAGTGAGGCATCCCTCGAAGATGTCACATCTTTGGATTCATCGCATAGTATTGTGACCCTTTTTCTTGGGTCGGAGACCAAATAGGAAATTCAGAAGAAGGAGAACGATTGGGACATCGAATCATTTCAGCAGATTTCGAATTCGAACCAGTTCGAACTTCGATTCCACTTATACCCTACATATATGAATTAAAAGTTTTCTGCAGTTTTCTGTACTTGAGAAGCTGATTTCCGATTTACGGATTAAAAAAGAATTGTTAATAGGAAATTTCGTGTATGGAAAAATACGGATGGAAAAGAGAATTGATACAAGAAATTCATTGTGCTATGTTGATAAAAGGTAGAGCAGAATGCATCTATTTTCCTTGTCAGAGAGACTATAATGAAAAAAAAACTTAATAATTTGTTATCTCGGTTTGTAAAGAAAAGCGACGCTTTTTTTGCCAGTTCTTTCGTTTCATGCAAAAACGTGTCAAATAAGCTTAATTTCATAGATTTTTAAGGAAAGGCTAAACTAAAGAACCTTTTTTGATATGTACATAAACGTACCTTTAAATGAGATAACAATTAGAAAAGTGAGCGAATTTACTAGCTTTTGATCAATGAAGTTATAAATATTTTAATGAATGTTTGCTTTTTGTAATTTTCACCTTTGATTTTAAGATACACAATTCATGATTCCAGTATTAATTCGGCTTCAATTATTACTACTAGTATTATCATATATAATGATAATTATTACTACTAGTATTATCATATAATATATAATGGTAATCTGTCAGTGTAGTTTAAGGGCAATTGTTATCAATGCCGATTAACTTAATCAACGATTAGCTCAATCAGCAGAATTATTATTATAGATAGAAGAATTTCATTATTTTTATCACAATTAAGTATAGTTAAAAAAGGAACGCAGAGATAGAGAGAAGTATATCATGAAGAGATAAGGTTAAAAATGATATACAGTCTTGTTGTTAAGTTAATTGGCATTGATAACAGTCGCCCTAAAAGTCACATTCCTAATCATAATACTCATAAAAATAGGATTTCCGTAGCATATGATGCCTGAAATCCAATATGTAGGATTCACATATGTTCATAGTTAGACCTTATATTTAAGACTTTTTTAAATTTATTTTTAGACGCTCAGTAGCCAATAAAATAATTTATAGAGCATCCGAAGATAAATTTAAGAAAGTCTTAAATATAAATCTTGATTATGAATACAAGTAATAGTATATGATATTTGATATCCAATAGGAGAATTTGTTTCCTGGAAACAAAATGTTGCTGATTAGAATCGAATTCCCTTATTGAATACTGTATCGTCATACATTGAATGTTGTATGCTGTGTGAATTGTACATAAGATTTTTAAATAGTATAGTATACATATAAAATAGTGCCGTTGACATTCAGATTTCAGTAATTGCGTTCAGCAGATTCAACAGTTGAGTGAATACTCACTGCTATTGACGTATTCTTCTAGATCTAAAATCTGATTGGTCTGCTGAATGCAATCAGTGTTTGTAACACTGTAAAAACAAGTAAATACATATTTATGAGATTTTTAATTTATAATAAGATTGGAAACAAGACCGTTTATGTTAAATATATTACTTTAAATACGAAACGCCACTGTGGTCTGAATGTTAAGATGTTAAACTATTATGTATTATATATTCATATAAATGAATTAATTTCAGAAATGATAATTGCATGCCGATATGATTGTCGAACTTTCAACGCAATCAATCTTTTTTATGTTTCAGCTATACTCAAAATCATTGTACCTATAATGTTATACTTTGTATAACATGTATAAAATTTTGTTGTCAAAGGTGTTGTTTTAATTCAGACTTCATTGTGAATAATAGAGACCTATTGTGAATAAAAAAAAGTTATACATATTTTTTAATTTTAACATATACTACTATGAGAAAAGGAAATGAATATGCATTATATATTTACATCTGGAATAAAGAGAAGCAATCAAATTGATGATAAGATTGTACTTGAGAAATCTATGTGATGAGAAATTTATCATCATAAACAAACAATACTTGTTTTCATGTTACTCTTCCTACATTGGTAAGGTTTTGTTTTTAAGTTATCATCCTAATAAACGAAAATCAATTTAAATGGATTTGATGATCTAACCGAAAATATATTAATAATATTGAAAATTTTTAATAGTAATCATTCCTTAATTTTAACGAGCTGAAAACGAAAAAACGGAAGTGCCAAGCTCACATTGTAAGTATTTTACTTTAACTTGATATTTTTGTTTTCTACATGAGAGCAACACAATAAATGTTCTTATACGAAAAATTTTTTACTGAATACAATAGACATTATGTTTTATTTTTAGCACAGCATCAATGGAAGTAATACCTGGAAAAAGGAGAAACAGTTTTATATATGTATATGAGGGATATAAATATAATATTGATAAAAGATATACTCATGTATATCGCTGTGCAAGAAGACGCAGTCATTTATGTAGAGGCGTATTAATGGTACAAAATGAAAAATTTACTTTAGGAAATACGCATAATCATCCAAGTGAACCTCATGTTATAGATATTTTCAAATTAAAAAGAGAAATGATTCAAATGTCTAAACATACCACTGCAACATCCAAAGAAATATATAATACAATTTCTCAAAAGAATCAAAGTGCAGCAGCAAATATTTCGTATAATGCAATGAAAACTCTGTTGTCAAGAGAAAAAATTAAAATGCGACCTCCAGTACCTTCAAGTGTTTGTGATTTAAATGATTTACTTAAAGAATATGAATTTACAAAATCTGTTTATAAAAGCTGCATTATATCTGAAGACAACAAATATTCATATATTTTCACTACTGATAAACTTTTAAAATTATTAGAGAAGAGTTCTGAAATTTATGTAAATGGAACATTTTCCGTAAGTAGCTGTTGCTAATATTTTGTTTAAATATGATTGATAAATATTATTAGAATATTTGTGAATATATATATGCAGAAAATACAATATGTACGATATGTTTGTGTGTTAACATATATGTATACATATTTTAGGCTATACCCAGAATGCCAAAATTTGCCAAATTATTTTCAGTACATGTGCGATACATGGAGAAGGTACTGATATTATACAATGAATATAAATTATTTGTATATTATTATGTATATTATGTATATTTATTGTGTGCAATCTTTTATAATACTTTGTAATATTATCTTTAGGGTGTTGTAGTATTACTTATTCTATGCGAAGCGAAAACAGAATTTGTTTACAATTCGATATGGAAAGAAATAGTTAAATTGGTACCTAAGTTACAAAACAATTTACATTATATAATAATGGATTATGAAAAAGTATTAATGAATACTCTTCATAAACAATTTCCTCAGGCATCTCTATATGGCTATTGGTTCCATTATTGCCAAGTAAATAAATCATTTTTTAATATTAAATAAATATCATATCAATTAATTTTTTATCCACTTTTTTATTAGATTATTTATAAAACTTTATTAGAATATTTAAAAAATTTTTCATATAGTAACTTTTCATAAAATACTTTACTTATAAATGATAAAATGATTAAAATTAGATTTACTCATATATTCTGTATTGTATTTGTAGACAGTTTTGAAAAAATGGATACAGTTAGGACTTACTATACCGCATAAGGTAGTGTCCATAGCAATGGCGTTAGCATTAGCACCACCAGAAATGTTTTCACAAGGTTTAAATCTTATGCAAATAATTACGAATAAAGAATGTTATTTTTATCCTAATATGATACTTTTTATGGCATATATGAAAAGTACATGGCTTTCAATATTAGAAAAAGTTTGCGTATATCGCTGCCCAAAGGCAGCGGATAGGACCACTAACTTTGTAGAATCGTTTCATAATATCATGATACATAAAATCCAAACGGTTCATCCAAATTTATGGTTATTTTTAAGTACGTATAATGTAATACTTTATTGATAATACAAATCCTATATGTTTTATAAAATGCTATTATACATAGCAATATAAAGATTATGTGGATACTGTAAGTATAGGTGATGTGAGACAGTGTAGATAACTTGAGACAGCATGTATTTTTGTTAAATTCAATCAAGGAATTCATCCATGAGTCTCTAAAAGAAATGTAAAACTTAAACTTTCTTTAGAGACTCATGGATGGATTTTATGATTGAATTTAACAAAACTATATGCTATCCCAAGTTACCTGCACTGTCCCAAGTTACTTGCATTGTCCCAAGTCACCTATATATTTACGATAATTAAATTATTAATTTTACTTAATAATTACTCCCAATGCAATTAATTTTTATTTAAATTTTGTAGATAATGTTTCTAAACTAATTATGAATCAAGAAATCAATTATGATCGTTTAATAAACGGTCAACAAATGACAAACATCCGTTTTCCATCCAGTATGTTTAGAAATATAAAAATACGAGACGCACAAAATTATTTATCTTCTGGTCTTTTTTCTTTAGAACAATTTCTGCAAGTTTTTGATAATGAAATGAGTTATCAGCAACATCATATGTCATCATTAATTGGTGAGTATTTAAATTTTGGTTGGACTAATATAAGATACATCGCAGTTATTACAATATATTTTATGAATTATATTTTTGAATTAAAATTTTTATATATAGAATTATTTTATCGATATGACGTATTGAACTTGTATTAATTTCATTGGATTACTTTCATCAGATTTAAGCTGTTCTTGTTTCATAAAAAAGAATTAATTATATAGATAAATATAATTTATTTGTAATATGAATGTATTTACATATTTTTACAATTACTTTTTATAATTTTTATAATTAATTTTTCAAATTTAGATCTCAGTGTTGAAGACGAGGAAATATATGCTGATTTACTTACAGAAGAAGTTGTTAATTCAGGTAAAATTCAAATAATTAATAATAAATTACCATATAAAATATAATAATAAATTAAATCTTTTTTATTTCTTTAATTTTAATTAGTTTCAACTTCTGAATTCCATATAAAAAAAAAAGTCAGAGACGAAGGGGTGAAGACGAACGAGAAAATTTCAAGGGTAATATTTTTTTACGCGCGCGCGCGCGCGCACACACACACACGCACGCACGCGCACACACACACACACACACACAACTTATTGTTTAAGTATAATAAATTACTATTATTAAAAGATCTCGCACTATTTTTATGAGAAAAATGTTTTTGATCAATTTGCTTTAATTTGTTATATATTATAATTCTTGCATTCCCCATCAAAAATGCGTTAAGCATAAAACTTGTATCAATAGTTTCTGAATTGAGGGCATTGAAAGTCTTTTTTATATGATTCGTTCATATGTTTGTCTATTGAATTACAATATTGTTGATATGCAGAAAATAGTGTCCAATAACATAATCCAGCGACAGATAAAATTGTATAATTATATTCATATTATTGTTATGCAGGACGACCATTAGAATTATGTCTAAACAAACGATTACTACTTCGCAACAAACGATACCATACAAAACAAATCAACAATTTTCCTCTACAAAACAATGGTTTTATTTGTTTTCGGTCTATTTATTGCGAAGTAATAATTGTTTAGTTTAGACACAATTCTAAAAGTAATCCTGTAGATGCTGCTTTCTTAATTTTAACATCTTCTTTAGAATATAACGCGCACACGAAATATATGGGAGTGTGTGTGCACTTATTACATTTCTAAAGATGCTTAAATTAAGAAAGCAACAACTATAACAATAATATGATTCTACAATAAATTCCATCTGTCACTGGCTTGTTGATTTTTATTTCAAGCATCAGCAATATTACAAACTTATACAAACAAACATATGAACAGAGGATCTCATAAAAGAAATTTTCAAATGCTTTTTCTTCTAGAATATAAGAACAAAAAGCATTGTCATTATATTAGTATTAGGTGTTGGAATTAATTCGTAGCGTTTTTAATGAAAGAATGTTATTTATTTCACATGAGCATTAAAAAATACATTAATGAAAGTACTTCCCATCACTTGTAAAACGCTACGAATTAATTCCAACACCTAATAATATTACAAAGTTGTCATTATATTAATAATATTACAAATATTAAATCTGTAATTACAAATCATAGAATTTCATTAATCACGATTTTGATTTTGGAAGAACATCAAAATACCAGATCAAGAATATTTTTTCAGAAAACTTTATTAATTGTAGTAAATATAAGTTGCAAGAAATGCAGGACACTACAAATTCTATTATACATTTACGTTTACAAAAGATTTTGTATACATTTTATTAATCTGTTAAACACATGAATACAGAAAAATTTATTTCAATATTTACAAGAAGAATTCATACGATTTTTTGCTTCTAACATCATATATAGTTAGTTTAATATCTACAACAAAAAATTAGAAGTAATAACATGTTAACTTAAATTAGAAGTAATAGCAAATTAATTTTTTTATAGTTCAAGCTAGGAAAAAAAAAGTTCAGGGAAATACTCACGATAACGCAGGTAATTATTTAATATATTATATATTTGTAGTATCATATGTATACAGGGTGTCCCTTTTTAAATAGGCCCTAAATATTCCCCTAAATATAATAAATTAATTTTTTTTACAGTTGAAGATATGGAAAAAAAAGTTGAGGAAAATATTTACGCTAATGAAGGTAATTATTTAACATAGTGTAATTTGTAGTATTATATGTATACACAAATAAGAGAAGAAAAAGAAAGCCATGAATTGAGATAATTGCGAGGTTGTCATTTCAGTTCATGATTGTGTTCCAAATTCAAGTAACCGAATCATGCATATAGTCTATAAAATTGATATAATTGTATTTATATATCACATATGAATATTACTAACATTAAGATTTGCTTCGATTTAAAATGGCTTTCGTTTTATATTTTGTGTTTATATACTGTTTGGTCTATTTCACATAATATTGTTTATATTATATATGTATATGTACATGTATACAAACACACACACACACGTGACATAACACATAATATTCTGACATAGTTTCATATATCTATAGTAAAAAATCAGATATTTTAAAGTCAACATGTCTACTTAAATGTAATAAATTAATTGTTTTCACAGTTGAAGCTAGGGAAAAAGAAATCGAGATACATACTTAAAATAATAAAGGTAATTATTTAATTATATTTGTAGTATTGCATGTATGTATTAACATAAATTAGAAAAGAAAATAATTGTGAAATTATTTCTTCATGATTGTGTTTCAAACCCAACAAATCGAATCGGTGCACAGTTTATAGAATTGATATTTGCACTTGTATATTTACATGAATATTACCAAGCACCAAGAAGCTTCGCCTTAACCCAAAATAGCTTTCATTTCTTATTTGTGTTTAAACATTTTTTGGTATATTTTACTTAATATTATTTATATTAACGTAATATATAACATATAACACCAACGAGGTGCTATTAAAAACAGTTGGTCTTACGAAAGTTAGCATACTATTTTGAAAGAAGCCGATAATATAATACTAATTTTATTATACTAGTTTCGTATACATGTATATATATATATATATTTAAAATTTTATATATATAATTGATTCTTATTTACACTTGTAATTTTAATGTTGTCGTCAGAGTTTGATTATCAATAAATACAATAACTGTAGAGGAAAAAATTGTAATTTTGTGGCAATATATAAAATACTATAGCATTACAAGTACATATATTATTATTTATGCAGCATTTATATAATAAAAAGTCATGAATTTAATAATATATTATCCAAATATTTATGTCAATAATCGCAAATTTATATCAATTGTCGACAATATTGTCGTTCTTCAATTATTTCCTGATCCCCTGGGGATTCTTATTGATAATCACGAGAATTTATCCAGGATCGGCTGTCTTTAATAGCATTTCGTTGGTGCATATAGTATTATACGTATGAGTATACAAACACATAAACATATAAAATAATGGATTTCTTTATAGAACATATTCACAAAGTGTCTGAAGATGATTATGGATACTGGCTTATTAAAAAGAGTACAGAAAAAGAAAATGCTCCATTTTTTTCTGTAAAAAATATAAAATGGATTACAGGTAAAAACAGATACATAATGAAAGAAAATGTACCATATGTTTAAATGAAAAATTAACATAATCTTCGTATCACGTGGACATGTTGCTTCAAAATTACGTACAGAAGTTAAAATACGAGAAATGTCCTATTTGCAGCAACAATTATCATCGGTATTATCAACGACAAATAATACCATAAATCAGGTATGACTTGTATTCTTACCAAACTTGTACAATATTACTATAGATTTAAAATTTTATTCATATAAATCTTTAAATAAATTTCTATTTTTAACATAATAATTTTTTTGTTACAGATAAAGGTTTCAATTTATGAATATCCCTATCTATGTATTATGATTTTGAGAGTGAATTTATTAAGAGCTTTTCAGCTATAAATGACACTGTCAGACACAAGAGCGCGATGTAAAGTTGTTCATTGTTTAAACTGCGCAATTTTTTATCTCTCCTAAATAGTTAATAGTCATGACATACAAGTCACCAAAACTCCACAGAATTGGTACCTGGGACCAATAAGAGACCAGGTCATGTAATCAGTTTGCAACTCTCTTTCCATTCTCTAGTGTAGAACTCATGATGGATAAAAGTCATTATACATTATGCTTACTCAACACTTATCACGACAGCAAATCAGAAGCATCAGTGACTCTATGTTTAGCAATAAAAATCGATCAGATATTTTAAGATATTAAGGATGATGTTCCATGATAGTCGGCATTTCAAAAAACAGAATCTTAAAAGAATAAACTGGATATAATATATATCTGAAATAAAAAATAAAAAATCGACGAAAGTAAATTTTATCTCCAATTTACTAATCAACGCTCACAATCAGTCTGCATGAGGATCTGGACTAATACAACCAGAGGGAGAGTGCTTTCCAGTAAGGACACAGTTTAGAATTGATAGACTACGGTTTCTTTTTATTATTTCACAGAATAAAACATGTTTCTTCTTAAATATGTTTTTAATGCTTCAAATATGCTTTAAACAATGCTATAAAAAAAAACATTTAAAACATTAAAAACATCAATTAAGTATGTTTTAAATTGTTTAAAACACGTTTAAAACATGTTTTTTTACCAACCCTGACACAACGCAGTGAATCATTTTATCTTTGTTTAACGTAGACAAACAACAAGGATGTAATGATTCGTCGTGTTGATTCCGCTCCATTGTTCTGATCCGATTCGAACCTTCGGTGGGCCAATGACGCATTCTCTATTCCACAGTTCTATATATCCACACTGTGATTTCACTTTACTCCGTGATTTTCTCCATTGTGCGTAGAGCCTTAAGCAAAGAACACAGATTCTTACATAACGCATAACACGTATGCATAAGAAAATGTACCAATCAAAGTCTTTCGTTTCTTTCTTTTCCATGAAATAAAGAATTCTGATTGGTTGGATTTCTTATATCTTGGATCTGCGCACAATAAAACAAATATTAGGAACAGGAATAAATATTTCAATCTACCAGATTCTGAGAGAGAGAGAGAGAGAGAGAGAGAGAGATGTAACTGGTATCTGATAGGTTAAAATCTTAGAATATATCCATACAAACTTGCATAATCGCATAAATAAACGTATTCATAATAAACGTATGCATAAAGAAAATTGTCCAATTACATTTTTACATGTGACTTTATAAGAGAAATGTGATTTTCTTTATGCGTTTATGCGACTATGTAAGTTGTGTGGATATATCCTTAATATTCCTATTCCTAATATTTTCTCCATTGTGTGCCTTATGTGTTAAAGCTTAAACACAATAGTCACAGGGAATAGAGAATAATAAGCTATCCAATCAGAGCTCCAGCATATAATATCGAACTTACATACCAAAGCTCTGGGGATCAATTCTGTATCTTGAAATGAAGTGAAAATTATAAAAGTGAGCGAATTTACTAGAATACTGATTATTTCATTGGTCAACATCTAGTAAATTTGTTCGCTTTTGTAATTTTTACTTGTTTGAGATACAGAATAGACCCCCTGATTACAACTCGTTATTCATTGTTGCCTATGCCTATTGTGTTTAAGCCTTATGCAAGAATCTGTGCTTCCCACTTTAATTAAGTAGCTACGAGTTACGTTAAGCCGTCGACAGATGGCGCTGATAGCGCGCTGCACTATTTGCTAGAATTTTTATCAATGCAATCTATGTCACAGGTCACTCTGGCTACCCGCTACAGTTGTCTACAGTCAGTTCTTGAATGTTTCCTTTTTCGTTCGTTTTATCGTATTAATTTCGCATATTTGTCGCGTTGTCAATTGTTCGTGGATGAGGTTCGAAGTCGTACAACGAGCAAGAAGAATCGGTTGGACGAATTATCGTGTGTTGTGCTATAAACACGTGCGAAATCTTGGCACAAGGAAATCTTGGAGAACGACGTAAAAGATAGAGAGAAAGATACAAAAGGAAAGAGAGCGAAAGCAGAGATCGCACAAAAATGTCAGAGATTGACGCTAAAGTGAACATGTCGCTTGGTAAGTCGCCAGAGTCCCGACAATCTAACGGTTTTGCCAATAATCCCGGATGAGCCCACGTTGCTTTCCCTCGCGTTGGGCAATGGATCGACAAAATGGCGTCGGCGCATGTTACGTACGTGATATTACAGCATGCTTGCATACGGTGCGTAGAGTACCTGCATTTGTTTTTTGCTTTTACATATGGAAGACGTTTTCCTCTTGCTCCTAGTGTTTCCCAGAGGATGCTGCATAAAACGTACATTCAAGTACATCGAAGCCACGATGATGGGATATTCTTCTTCGTGAGGTGCCGATTGATCAATCGATCGACATGATGGCGCCTTTGTTAAAGCATGCTCGCGAAAGAGGAAATGGTTTTGAAAAGAAAGAGACTTCTTTTTCAGAAAAAAAGGCCAGAGAAAGGGGAATCATCAGAATTTTGCTCATATTGTATGTTGTTGGATAATCACGATCGCTCTTTTAGTTAGGAAAAAGAAAGAGAAATCTGAATGAAACATGTGAAAGCAGATGCGAGAACTTCTCATCCATCCTAAATGATTCTGCGATCACAATTGTAATTTATTTGATCATCGGGAAGAAGAAAAGATCTAACAGATTGATAGGAAATTTTATAGAAATAGCGTGGAATGGTAGGATGATTTATACCACAAGTTTATGTGCGAAGAATTGTTTCATGATTACTGAAAATAATCAAATTTTGTACTTATCTCGAGAAGGAAATTGATGTCCAGAATATATAGGTACATGAACATATAGGAAATGTAATCAAGACAAGTTTGATGTACTAGTATATAAAGCACTGTTACTTGCCTTAATAGCATTCTATGATCTTGATTGCTTACCTTAGGAAGAAACCTGCATCTGCATAAGTACATCCAAAAAATTCCAGCAAACACCGAGAAACGATCTGAGAATTTATCAGGATATTTATTCAGAACATCATTTATTTAATAGTAAATTTATTAAATTAAATAAATTGAAATTTATATAAAATATGTACAAATTGCCCGTCATTTTCATGAATAAAATAATTGAAAGAAGTCGTAACAAAGTAAATGTACAGGAATGTGTATTTAGATTAGTTGTTTTAGTTGATATAAAATATAGTTAGATTTTAGATATGTAAGGGAACTTAATAAATTTAAAATTTATTAATAGTTAAAAAATTATTATAAATTATTAATATTATTTATATTTGCCTCAAACAACCATACTTTGCTATTGCAATTGTTTGTTTTGGGAAGAAACTGATAGCATCAACGTTCCAGGAATCGTGATTGAAATACCAAGAAATGATCTAAGACTGTGTCAGGATGTTACATAAAACATTGTTCTATATTTTCCTCAAATAATCATATTCTACGATTTGCAATGTATTGGTTGCTTCAAGAAAAACACCAGTGTCCAGAAAATAAGTGCATCAACATTTAGGAAATACAATTGAAATGATAGAAAACTATTCAAGATGTTATGCTTAAAAAACACTTTTATTTGTCTCAAGTAATGTTCCCGGATATTGAGCTTGCCTCAGTTGTTGAGGAAATACAATCATATCGACGCACAAGAAATGCGATTGTAATAACAAAAATTTGTTCCAGAATCTTGTTCCAAGAATTGCATCATATCTGCCATAAACGATTATATCTCTTAATCGCAATTGTTTATAATCCTTTGCTTTGTGTTGCAAGCAAAAAAGAACGATGTATTATGTGACAAGAAATGGATAAAAATACCATGAAGCAAAATCAAGAACCAGGAATTTCTTATGCCTGGGATCGTTCTGAAATTCTATACCAGCCGCTCTAAAGTTTACACCTTTAATACTTCTTGATTACACGAATAAACATGAAGTTGTCTGTCGTAATTGTATTATGTACATAGAATCAATTTTCATTCGAAGATTATTTATGAAATTATGACGCATATTGGAATATGTTTTCAAACATCTTAAAACTTTTTAACATAACAATTTTGAAAATGGCAATTTAATCATATTGCGACGTTGGATCTTCTTCGTAATAACGAAATAGTCTACAGCGATTCAATTACAGAAGAGAAATCGGAGTGAGATTTGCTGCAGCAAGAGGATCGTGAATCGCGTTATTACTGATATATGTGACCTGATGCATATTATGCAATCACAATTCATCGCTAATTACATATTATATACACCGTTAATCTTCCCGACGATTAATTTCCACTAGGAATCATCATGAAAGGAATTTATTGCATCATTAACATTTCACATGTAATTTTCAGTTTGAGAAAAAGGCAATGGCTAAAAAGGCTAAAAAACATTTCGAGAGGCTGTGTCAAGCGTTGTGATCATGATTTATTCCTCATGAAAAATTACGCTCTCTTTTCACGCTTAAGACAAGCGCAAAACTTACGTAATTTTATATTTTCATCCGTTGCATCACGAGCAACTGTTATTCGCCTAGAATGCCAAGTATGGAACGAGACGCTTCCTCACATTACGCATGCCGGTATAACGTTATCTCTACTGCTGTGTAACAGGAACACTCGGCGAAACGATAAGATTAATTTCGCCTTTGTTTCTCTTCTATTGCTACAGCCAGAATGAAAAAGGATTTGGAGAATCAAACGCGAATTAAAATCTCCTTTATCTCCTTGATATGTAGCGCTACTTCAAATTAATTTATAGTCTATTGACATTGCATTAGTATAATATTTACTGGCAATCTGAAAATGCAGGTACTCTAGTAGGCAGGCTGGTTTTAATATTCCGATGAAACTTCATCGTTTTCAATGTCGCGCAAACAATTCCAGGAAGCGATATATTTATGCGTTATTTATTTATATATCGATCAACGTAGCAATCTGTACGGGCTCCTTGAAAATCTTCTGAAATATAACGTTAAAATTAACGGAAGACCTCGTCATAAGAAGAATCATTGACTGGTTCAGCTTATGGAAAAGATAAAAAATAATGAAAAGAAGAGGACAAAGTAGAAATGCAATTCCTAGGAAGCAACGTTGCATTAATGGAGAACATGAACTGCCAGCATTCTTTCTTTAATCGGACACCATTTTGAAGTAATCCGTAAAGCAAAAAAAAAATGACAAATAGGGGTAAAGATTATTGAGTAAAAGTAGTGATTATTGAAAAGCAAAAGAAAAAACGCAATGCAAAAAATTACATTGCACATATTAAACATTTTAATTATATTCTGATTATAAAGTTCAAACATTCTTTGATTTTGTTTTAAATCAATACTGTATTTTGTTTCTTATTAAATTATTGGGTTTTGATATTTAATTATTAAATGATTTATTTATTGACTTTTAAAAAATCTGCATATTTTATAATTTTTTTTCTGTATGATTGATATTGTAAATTAAAATTTCTGAGAATTATAATTTTTTATATTTATTAATTCTCGTATTATAACTTTATATAAAAAATAATTTCAGAAACGTTAATTTAATGCTGTTAATTTAATGCTCAGAATTAATCTATATTTTATTCTATTATAACAATCTGAAAAATATATGCTGCAATATATGAGGAGATATTGCACGGATTGCATTCTACGTATTTACAAGAATATCTTTGTAGGCAAAGATCTTTAGGATTACGAATGCTTGGGATGCTCTTTCTTCTCAGCGACTTCTTCGGTGGGATACATGCCGAAACGATGCACTCACGATGGAATCGCTGTCTGTGCCAAGATTTAGCATTAAGTGTTTCGACTTAAGAATTTCAAAGATTAGATCCCACCGTCGTACGTTTGCCGTCGTACGCTCATTAAATGACGCGCGTTTTCTTCCTTTTAAGATGAGATCATAAAGATGGAGAAAAAGAAAAAAAGGGCGACAACTAATGGAAAACCCGGCGGCGCCAAGCGCAATCGCGGTGCCGGACGAGGCCGGGGTGGATTTAGAGGAAGAGGTGCGAGAATCAAGCGCAATGTTGGGGCCACTCTGAAGAAGCAACAGCAACAGACCTGGCAACGTAATGCGAGTACAGCAGGCAATGCTCGTGGCGGTTTTGCTCGGAATCGCTTTAAGAGAAATAGCAATCTCACGAGATCACGTAGCAACTTGAGCTTGAATTATAAGCCAAACAATGTGAGAGGAGGCGCGTTCAATGTGCGTCGTGGCAGAGGCAATAGATTCGGCCTAACTCGCAGCCGGAGTCGTACAAACCTGACATTCAATCAGGGCGGCTTCTTCACGAACAATAAGAGCCCGCTGAAACGAACGAACAGCTTGCCCAATCTGCGAGATCCGAATTCTGTTCACAATCGCCTGGGCTATCAGAGTCCCGCTCAGATTGCCTATCGAAATCGTGTGAAACGAGTGAAGCAGCTGTTGTTGCAGAGGCAGAATCAGAGACTGACCTTGCAGAATCAATTTAGAGTGAGTGAAATATTCGGACATGCATATGACAAATATTTTATATGCGAAAATTACTTATTACACCGACAATGCGTGTATAAATTGTTACAGATGGCACAACCCGGCCAGAAGACCGTTTTACTTTCGATGCAACCAAGAACTTTGGGAAGGCAACAGATACTAACATCGCAACGTCGCTTCACGACCGGTGGACTGCGATCCGATCAGATCGCTCATGCACAGAGACGGGCGCAATACGAACAGAAACTTCTACGAATGAAGTAGATGATACTTTGTTATATTTGTTGCGTCAAATTAATTCATTAGGCTGGCTACTCTTTCATATTAGTATATAATTGAGAAGTATAAACCTTTTGTTTGGTTTCATAAATACAGATTTATTAATAGTTTTATTGATACTAAAAACGATAACAAATTTTGTCCTTTTTGAGAGACAGGATATTTAAAGTACAATATGTTATAGCGCTTCCCGGTTGAACTCTACTCCAAATGTCATGTGCACATTGGGAAGCGAGTATATACCTACCACTACACGCCAGCGACCACTTACCCTTGCACAGAACCTACCTATAACTATTATTAATTCGCGACAAATGCCCAGAGGACGATCGCCGTTCAGGCAAAACGCACAGCCTTTAAATATGGTATACAATTTTCAGTTAAGATTTCTCTAAAATGTATATTTGTTTCATTCTTTTTTTTTTTCTATTTTAACCCATTAAGTTTTATGTAATTTTTACGCGATTTTCTGTTTTAAATTCTTGTAACTTTTGATCTAAATTTTTTTAGATCGCAATTAATATTTAGAGGTAAAAGAAGAGTTGCTTTTTGTAAAAAAATATATACAGATTGAAAGTAGAGATAAAGAAAGTAAAAACCACTGCCTTTTTATTGATAAAATATTCAACTAATAAATAATTTCTTTTACTTTTTGTTAGTAGACTGAATCGATAGAGATGATTATTATTATATTTGAATGATCTTTAGAATAATTAAAAAAATTTTTAAAAATTCAAGGTGAGAAAGTATGAAAGAAAGTGAAAACATTTTTTTTTTAATTTTTCTGTAATTTAGATAAAATCATTAGTTGAATATTTGCCAGCAGTAGGGTGAAGTAACTTGTAGCCTGCATATTTTTTGCAGACACATCACTTCTCATCACAAATTATATTTTCGGAGAACAATTCTTTTTACTCCCAAATTACTATTAAAAAATTGTAATTAATATTCTAGTTCAAGAAGTTACAGCAGAAAAGCGAGATCACTTGGAATTTAAGAAATTAAAATATTTGGTCATTTTCTTAAATGATCACTTCATTAAAATTCCAGATTGACCGAGCACCATTATTCGGTCGACAGCGCTCAAGATCGAGATCACGCTCACGCTCGCGTACACGCAACACGACTACGTCCGATTCCAGTGGAGACGTCGACGATCGTACTTTCAGCGAAGTTATGTACAGTCTGTCAAGCAATCTCGGCGTTACAAAGCGAACTCTTAATGATCGATTTAGCTTTTAAGTAGTAACGTCGCAAATTCGACTTTATATCGAATTCATTACCAACGATACATTGGTAATTTACCTGTAACCTAGAAATAAAAAAGTAATTTTTGTTTTAACATGTAGACAAAATGCTATTATTTTTTCTTTATTAAGTACGCGTGTGTTATTCATGTCAAATCATACTGTATTAATTAATCCGTCTTCACAAATATCTTATCATTTGCTTTAATCGCAAAACTATAATTAACTTCACCTGAAATATCGCTTCTTCACATCCGTTGTTAATATGTACAAATTATCTTTAGGAAATAGATATTATCGATAGATATTAACATACTTTCACTTGAAGTACATAGTAGTATGCGATTCTTTATCTATTTTATATGTCACACAGTTTTCATCTATGTGCAATAATTATATCTATAAAATCTTCAGTATTTTTTCATTATACGAAATGTAGAGAAAAAGACGTTATTTAAATACGCGTATAGCAATTTCGATTACAATTTATTGAAATTTTTACATTTAGTGTAAAAGAAAATTAGCTTAAGTGATTACTATTTGTGTACAAGATAGAGCGCATACTTTTCAAGTGTACTTTCTTTTGCTTTGAGAAATATACAAAACTTGATGATTACTTATCCATCTTTTTAAATTAATTGCATTCTAGATGATCTTTAAAATGTAAGTGTGAAATATTTAAATACCTATGTAATTCACATGTGTACATATATAGATCACATTTTTTTATATATTTAGCAAGAATTTTAGTTTAGGCTTTAATTTTCAAGATTATACAATATAAAAAGTTGCTTAATAAATAATCATATATTGCAAAGTATATTTTATTAAATTATTATTAAAGTGCAGTTTAATTTGTAATGTGAAACATAGGTACATACTCAAAGTATAATTGGAAGTTGTTGGAACAAAGCTCAAAAGTTTTTCTCAAATGCATATCTCGTCCAATTTTTTTAAAATGATGTTTATATCACGCATATTTCTGATTCGGACACATTAGTTTTACATCGCTAATTTTATTCATTGTGTTATCTACTTCCGTGGATAACATACAATGCGCATATTTATAATTATATCGTAGGTTTGTAATCGTAATTTTAAAAGCCTGAAGAAGTTTCTTCAAGAAGTGATAACGCGCACGCGACGTTGAATATTACGCAGTTGTAGAAATCCATTCGAAAAACGTGGATGATATTTTTTACGCGGGTATATATATCATCATGAAAAGTGGTGAAGAGTGAAGTATCGTCCAAGAATAAATTGCGGTGGTACTTATCGCTATTACAATAAAAAAAAGAAATGAGCATAATATACGCTCATCGCCTACTCAGTTCAGTATTGAGTGTCAGTCATACGGATGCACACGAAGTGTCCTCGTGTCTTGTAAGTGAATTCAAGTTCATGCAGGATAACTGTCTGTCGAAATTGTAAACAAAATATTCAATTTGTCGATTTTTTTGAGTATCAATCATGAAACTCTATTCCTAGGATGGAAAGTGAAAAGTGAAAATTTTTGCCATTGAAGTTAATGAAGAAAATTTTTATTTTCCATTTTAGGAAAAAAAAGTTTTATAATTGATACCCTGAAGAACCACTCGTGGCAGACTCTGCTCAAGTGCTTTTACCTAGTATGGGAATTTTTCAGCAGAGACATAAATCGACACAAAAGTCATTCTGTCTTTCTTACTGATTATCGAATAAGGACAGGATGACTCTTGTATCTTTGTGTCTCTTGCTGAAAAGCTCCCTTCATTGGTTAACACTTAGTGAGTTTGCTCATTTTTGTAATTTTTATTTCATCTAAAGAATCATAATAAACCCCAGAGTCTGGACATGCCCTAAAAATGATGTGAAATTTGCTCTCAATTGGTGATATGTATATGCGTTCTCGATTAGGGCCGTGTTCCAAATTTACTGCCAGCACTGCAAATGCTACAATAATAAGTTAGTTTACGTTATTTGCATTATAGATTTTCAGTACTGGCAGTCAATTTTGGAACACAGCCTGGTATTGCCATTGTGTGGGCTCGCCAATCACAAGAGAGGATAGAGATGGCCAGACTCTGATATTTTAGAAGCCATTAAGAAAGAAGAAGTTCAAATTTGATAACTTTACAGGAAGCGTGGAAACTGTCGACAATGTACATGCATAGTTGTACGTAGTCCAAATTACGTTTTTATGCTGCCATCATGTCGTTTATGTCATCTTCAATAAGGATGTACGCGCGAAGAATAAATAAACAGGTAAAGATAAACAATAAAATATAAATAAGAGTTCAGATAAGGCTAATGACTGAGTCATACACTGTTATAAGAACAGAGAGATAGGAGAAACAGATAATCCTCGAGTATTGCTGGTTGTCTTCAATTTATTTCGTTTCAGGTTCTTTTGAAAGTCTTCCTCAGCGAATACGAAATCATAGATCTTTCATTAAGAGCAAGTTACTTGCAGATTGTCAGAAATGCAGCATACATTATATACTCAATGGGAAACAATAAAAAACGAAGCTCAGAAATAATGATTCAGATATAACTTTTTTAATCAATGTTATAAATGTGAATCATTATTTCTGAGCTTCGTTTTTTATCATTTCCTATTGAGTGTAATGTATGCTGCATTTCTGGCAATCTGCAAGTGATTTGCTCTCAATGGAAGATCTATGATTTTGTATTCGCTGAGGAAGACTCCAAAAGGAGCTGAAACGTTCGAAATAAATTGAAGATAACCAGCAACACTTGAGGATTATCTGCTTCTCCTATCTGTCCGCTCTTACAACAACATATGACTCTCATTAGCCTTATCTGAACTCTTATTTATATTCTATTGTTTGATTGAGAGTCTTTATTTATATTTTGCATTTATATATTTATTTTAATTGTTAGATAAAGATAATTTTATATCCGTATTCAGATCCATAGTCAGATTTTGAACTTAAGACTTCCTTGAATTTATCTTTAGATGCTCAGTAGCCGATGAAATAATTCGTAGAGTATCTGAAGATAAATTTAATGAAGCCTTGAATATAAGGCCTGACTATGAATACAGGTAATACATCTTAAAAAGATAAATTACTTTACCGTTGAGTGTAGGATTAAATTATTTATATACAAAATAATTTAATCTTAAAAAAATATATATGTATAATATAAAATAATTTAAACAATATATAAAATAATAAGACTTCAAAGAAAAAAATAAAATTAAAAATATTAGCCAATATAAAATAATTTAATCCGCTAAAAAAAATTGCATACAGATACGTTTACATAAGATATTTTGTTTTTTCTGTAGCTGTTAGCGCACAACACTTCGGTTATTAAACAAATAGTTCGAAATTTGGAGGTGCATGAGCACATGGCGTACACTTTATTAAAAAAAGCTGGCATTCCTACTCCGCCTTTCTGGGTGGCAAAGACATCCGATGAAGCTGCCACTCTGGCCAAGAATCTGAATACGAAGGACCTCGTACTGAAAGCACAAGTTCTGGCTGGAGGTAGAGCGAAGGGACACTTTAAGAGTAGCAATGTTAGCGGCGTTGTAATGTGCGATACGTGAGTACATGACGGAGCTGTAATTCACAATAGAAAGAAACGAAAGGCTGTAATTTCTTTCATTGCAGAATCAAACAGGTAAAAGAATTGGCAGATAGTATGATTGACAACGTGCTTGTGACTCGACAGACGGGACCAACTGGAAAGATATGCAATTCTGTGATGGTGACAACGCGTATGTTTCCACGTAAAGAGTATTACATGGCGGTGATGTTGGAACGTACCTTCAATGTAAGTATGAATATACATAGTCTTATATTATTTTAGAAGTTAATAAAGTATTAAGTATTTTACTCATTCCGTGTATTAATGATTTATATTATTAGTATCACATTTTTTATGATTTATTGATCTCCAAGGATTAGCTTTATATTATATGATTCATTTGTCATTAATTATAGAAATAGCTAAAGAAAATATTCTATAAAAATTAACTATAAAATGGGTTTAATTCACTCGTCACTTATAATTGTAAGTTGCTGTCGCTCTTCTATTCAGAAATAAATTCAATCTAAATACGCTATCGTTTATGTTTCACAAGGGGCCTGTAATAATCGTTTCCAAGCAAGGCGGAGTAAACATTGAAGACGTCGCTGCTACGAATCCCGAAGCTATAGTATATGTACCGATCGATGTGAAGAAAGGTTTAACACCCGAACAAGCGAACAACATCGCCGATAAGCTGGGACTCGTGGGAGCCAGCAAGGAGATCGCGTCGCTCGTCGCCTCCAATCTCTACGACTTGTTCGTTGAGAAGGACGCCCTGCTGCTCGAGATTAATCCGTTCGCAGAAGACATCTGTGGCGAATGTACGCTGCGAATAAGATAAGATACGAGAAACAAGAGCACATAATAAGTTTCAATAAGACTAAATTCTTATTACCGCAGATTACGCTCTGGATTGCAAATGCAAATTTGACGACAGTGCCGATTTCCGTCAGAAGGAGCTGTTCGCTCTGAAAGACACAACCCAGATGGATCCGAAAGAGGTCGAGGCGGAGAAGTATAACTTGAGTTACATAGCTCTCGATGGAAATATTGGCTGCATGGTGAACGGGGCCGGACTGGCGATGGCCACTATGGATATCATAAAACTCTACGGCGGTATGCCGGCAAATTTTTTGGATGTCGGCGGCACTGCTACAGTCGAGACAGTGACGGAAGGCTTCAAGATACTATCTACGGACCCAAATGTAATTAGAAAAATCGAGAGTTAAAATGATATAAAAAAAATTGATATATCAATGATTTTATAGGTGGAAGCTATTTTGGTGAATATTTTTGGCGGCATAACGAAATGTGATATAATCGCTCAAGGGATCATAGATGCTACGAAACAGTTGAATATAAACGTACCCATAATCACGCGATTACAGGTGATTAAGTTACATATATTAGCCTTGTAACATTTTTTAAACCGTCTATTTCTTTGTAGGGTAATAATGTCGATAAAGCTAAACAACTGATATTAGATGCTAAACTAAAAGTAATTCCCGTGAACAGTTTTATTCAAGCGGCCAAGACATCTGTCAAGTTAGCATTGATGATGAATATTGCGAAATCTTCGGATTTAGATATCACTTTTAGTATTAAATCGCCAAAAAAGAAATCTAAATAAATAAAAAACTGACATTTTTGGAAGAGTTTGTCAAATATTTTGTATTTACATATTGATAAAATATATCTTTTTATACATATGCAAAACGTGTGTATGTTATTATTACATATGAATGATAAAATGCTGATGATTCATAGGTTCTTAATCTGAAGACAATCTCAATCTTAAGATACTATGACTAAGATAATATGGTTCTCTGATTGATTTATGACATTTCAAGCACTAGTTTAAGACTATCCCGAATCTTGAACAATGTCTATGGATTCCGCCTATAATTTTTAAGAATATTAAAATAATTTAATTACTGGATGGCCCGAAATTCGAGGACAATATTATTACAGCGTGAAACTTTGTGAAAAATCAAGTCGAAAAGTCCTGTATCATTTTGCAATTTTTCAGTTGACAAAATATTAATTATTAAATATCGCCAAATATTGGTTTTCAATAATTTTTTATTCAAATATTATCAACTTTACAGAAAAACAGCAAGAGACAAAAATTGTTTATTTTTTTCTCATAGAGTTCTAAGAACTTTTCCAAAATTTTTTATTAACTTTTCAGTATTGCAATTTCTAATTGGAAAATTGTGAAAATTGTAAAATGATAGAGGATTTTTCGTCTTAATTTTTCATGAAGTTTGACGTTGTAATAATATTGTCCTCGAATTTTGGGACACCTTGTGTGTGTGTGCGTGTGTATGTGTGTGTGTGTGTGTGTGTGTGTAGTTAACTTAGTGATATTCTTCTTTTTTCGTAAGTGTATGAAGTATCCTTTTTCTTTTAAATTATAATTTATTAAATTGTTCCAAGTCGTTTAAACTTTGTATAGCATTTTTCTTGTCTCACATCGTTCCAAAGTAATATATATTGCTTTATTCCAAGTGATTATCTAAAATTTTTAAGCATTTACGGTTGACCCACTTTAAAAAAAAAATCAATTTCTTGCATCCCTATAGATTGTTAATAGATAGATTTGTAGTTTTTCAAAACATTGTTCCAAAAAGTACGATTCTTTATATCAAATGAAAATCTAAAAAAATTTTTTTAGCTAATTCTTTTTTTCAAAAATTAAACAATTTCTTATCGCTACAAATTGTTCCAATTGTTCCACAAACATTCCAAAAGAGTAATTCCGTAAGTTAAACTAGAAATTTGTACAAAGAAAACATTTTTAACAAACTAACTTGGACCAAGAGTAAACATACACTTTCTTTCGTGTTTCAGTCGAGAACTTTTTGTTCCAAGGCTTTAAGAATTTGTTATACGACAAAAAAACGCAAAAATAAAATAGCACCTTTCATACCGTGTCGTCTGTGTCGTTTACTGGAAAGAACACAAAGCAGAAAAAGTATTAGTGTCGATTTATATCACACTATGGAAAAAACTCAGTATAACTCGGTGTGATTTTCACGTAAGGTGAGGTTCTGCGTAGTGTGTTGCGCGTAGGAAACGTCAAACCTGGGTGGGGGCCATGAGGGGCAAAGGTGGTAAACTAAAGCTTCTGGCAGTCCACCACACTGAACACTCCCAGTCGTAGACCTCAGTGCCACAGTCCACGGCTGTCGCTCAGGCAAAGATGGCTACCATGTTGTCGCGGGCAATCTCACTCGCGGAAAGTCTTGGTCGATTGAGCAGTCCCAAGGTATGTCAAGCCGATGGGTTTTTTCGCATTCACGTTAATCGCGTGACTTTGGCACGTTCGTACGAACGCGCCGAGTGACCTCGAGATTGATATGGATCAGTTGAAAAGGAAAGAAAAAGAAGGATAAGCGAGTGCGAGCAAGACAGAGCGAAGGTCGCCGATCGCCATATTGGACAGCTGTAGTCTGCTAAATCGAGCGCCAGGGTCGTGAGCGATTTGAAGCCGAGCCCCGAGGATCTCATCTGTAGAATTTCCCCTCCGATAAATCAGTGTGACAGTTACGCAACCAACCGAGGAACTCTCACGTCTTTCCCTCGATGTTCTCATCGTTCGCCTTCGCGTTTCTATCGTTAATTCACTACTCGTTCGCGCGAAGGAATAAGTACTTGTCAAATAGTCACTACGCATCGGCTTCGATGCGACAATTGTCTTTGATAGCTTTTTGTTTCTCATTGAACGAGTCGAATAGAATGACGGTTTCAATTTGAATTGAAATAAAAGAACAATCGATACCCTTTCGTACCCTCCTCCCCCTACCTCGCTCATGATCGATTAAAATCCTCGCTTCTTTCTCGCTGGAATACAAATTTATTTTCGATGAGACATGACCTTGACTTGCAACAATGACGCATGTGTTTTGATTGTTAAAGTCATCGATGAGAAAATTAGCTAGGGATAGGAATTTTCAATTAAATCGATAGTATGTTTTTTTATGTCATGGAATTTTCCCAGCTTCGTTCCCAGCAAATGAGAAAGGATTGAAATGGATTGAATTTTTTTCTATCCGAATGCGTATACAGGGTTGGCCATATTCGACGGAAAGATGTTTTTTTTTTCAATCATGGGAAACGTCGTTACTCGATCTAACATCTCTGTCAAAAGTTACAGTGTTGCCCAGATCTTTCCGTCGAATGTGGCTAACCCTGTATTTTAAATAGCGATTTTTTTGGATTTAATTGTATTCAACTGGATGCAATTGGATTGAAAAACTGCATTTCCTATTCAAAATTTTGAGTTGAACAGTATTCACAATATGTGTTGCACAGAAAAAGTTAATATTATTTTTAGATTGAAAGGCATAGAGATATGCTCCATGCAATTCCTATAAATGAATAAAAACGCATTCAGGATTGAAAAGCATTCATTCGTGAATTAATATTTCTGAAAATTTCAATCCATTTCAATCCATTCTTGTTTGCTGAGTTCTTGTTATGGCGATTTATTTGATCAGAATTTCGATAATATTTTCGTAAATATAAAAGGTGTATCTTCGTAAATTATGAATTAAAATTCCAACGAAAACAGGATTTGCTTGAACATTTATTAAATTTCTATTTTTGTTTATCAATAACGTATGTTGTTTAATCTTTTGAACATTTTTCTTCTAAACAAATTATAGGTCATCTGTGGGTTTTCGAGGTCGCTGATTCTTATGTCAAAATTGAAAAGATTTTTTGTGTTGATTAAAATGATATTTATGATTAAGTTTGTTATTAATTGCCTTAAAGTTGCGATTTACATATAGGTCATTATAGGATCTGTCAAAAATATTTTTTGATTATGTTATTCAAACATAAAAGTTTCAGGTCGCTGAATCTAATATTAAAACTGATAACTTAATTTAAATTGAAAATTGAATATGAAAAATTCTTATACAAATGAATTATTCCAAAAATTTGAACGTTTTTTAAGTATTTTGATTTTTACCATTGGTGACCGAGTATATTGATCATTTTGAATTTATTAACTTTAACATGATATTAATACACCAATAGAGTTAATATTGATGTTTCGATATATACTGAAAATCTGTAGTTCACATTATTCTATAGATTTCAAGTATTGATAGGATATAGCATTGTATTATATGTATTGTATATTGTTGCTTTGATGCAATAAATCTTCTTCAACACGTTGCATCATAATTATAACATGCTAATTGTAAAACAGTCCTTTTTGTAATTTTAATTTCGCAAATTTCTCAAAATTATGACACTATTATTGTTATAGAGGAATTTTCCAAATAGCACATTAGTTAACAAAGCGTTAAAAAAGTGCATATAAGCGCTAAAAAAGCGACTATTTTTTTAGCTTTTTTAATGCTTTGTAAGCACTGTGTACTACTTGGGTTGATAAACGAAATCATGTTTACTCGAACTGAGATTGTTCTTGTACTAAAAAAATTAATTTTTTGTTGAATAATGTAATCAGTTACTTCAAAGTTTTAAATGCAATTGATAGATGCAACAGAAAATAACAAGCGATATTAATTAATATTTTGAGAACATTAGCTGTCTGTTTAGAACTTAATTTAAATTTATTTGTGTTTTCAAAGATTGCTGAAGAATCTGTATTAAAGAATGATAAAGGAATGTCACTTTAAACTGTTATACAATTCACTTTATTGCAGATGAAGTATCATTGCCAAAACGCGTGTAAAAGCTGTATGTAGGTGATGAACATGTGCATAGCTTATCGCCATTCAGCCTTCAAGTATAGATTTATATTTAACTGTTACATGATTTATGACTAACAGACCAATTTGCATATACTTTAATCTATACATGTTATTTTATCTTCTTGATATCAATATGCTGTGTAATTTTTATTTACATTTCTTTCTTCATCCTGATCAATGTGCAAAGTGTATACAAAGTAAACATACATTATTATCAATGGTAATGACGCTAGAGTTAGGAGTATCTACTGCATATGATCCAAAATACAAGAGTTTATCACTGTACTTTTTTGTCACACCCTTTTTTTAGATATTAGCGTGCAATACTAGTTTGATCAAACAACCGGCTAGGAATTTGAATGTTCATGAACACATTAGCTACAGTTTACTCAATGAGGCTGGTGTACCGACACCTAAATTCGGCGTTGCCAAAACTCCTGACGAAGCAGCTAAACTCGCTGCCGATTTGAAAACAAAGGATATCGTCTTGAAGGCCCAAGTCCTCGCAGGTGGCAGAGGAAAAGGACATTTCAAAGGAACAAGCGTTAGCGGAGTGAAGATGTGTGAAACGTAATTTACAGCCCTTTCGATTAGATTAATATGTAAATATGTTGCAAAATACTGTAGTTTATTATCATTGCTTATAGTCCCGAAGAAGCTAAGTCGTTGGCGGGTCAAATGCTTGGCAAACTACTGATTACAAAACAGACTGGCGAAGGTGGCAGAATATGCAACGCCGTGATGGTCACTCAGCGCATGTTTCCCCGTAAAGAGTACTACCTTGCTGTCATGATGGAAAGAGCCTTTGGTGTAAGTTTTTAAAATGATGAAAAGCGTATTTGAAAAATTATTGCATTAAATTTCTAATGAATATTTTTCATTCCCAGGGTCCTGTCATAATAGCTTCCAGTCAAGGTGGGGTGAACATCGAAGAAGTCGCAGCGACAAATCCTAGCGCTATCATGTACGAACCTATCGACATCAATAAGGGAATTACGAAGGAACAGGCAGAACGTATAGTAGTCAAGCTTGGCCTCGATAACGTAAAGGACTACATTTCCAATATAATTATAAATCTTTATAATATGTTTCTCAAGAAGGACGCTTGCCGAGGACATAAACGGGAATTGTAAATTTCTATCTCTCTTAATATTTTATAAATGTTCGATTTGCACGAATCTTTCTACATATTTTCTTTTATAGACTTTGCTCTAGATTGCAAATGCCGGTTTGACGACAACGCCGAATTCAGGCAAAAGGCACTCTTTAATTTGAGAGACTGGACTCAGGAGGATCCTAAAGAAGTCGAAGCTGCGAAATTCGACTTAAATTACATCGCGCTTGATGGCAACATAGGTTGTATGGTGAATGGAGCTGGTTTAGCCATGGCTACGATGGACATTATAAAATTACACGGTGGCGAGCCGGCTAATTTCCTCGACGTTGGCGGTGGTGCGTCAACTTCGGCGGTAAAGGAAGCATTTAAGATCATCACTTCTGATTCACGAGTGAGTGCACAAAATTATGATTGAGTCTTTATAATTTAATTGAATTTACATGCATTCTTCTTTTTTCTATCAGGTTCATGCTCTCTTAGTTAATATCTTCGGTGGCATCATGAGATGCGACGTTATAGCAGAGGGTATTATCGCCGCGACTAAGGAATTAAGCTTAAAAATTCCCGTCGTTGTAAGATTACAGGTATACGATTTATTTTACAAATAATTATTATGATGATTACAATTGCTTATAGAATTATACAAAGATATTTTTTTTTCTTTACTTTTTAGGGTACTAATGTGGACGAAGCCAAGGCTCTGATCGCGAATGCGGGTTTAAAAATTGTACCAATCGACGATCTCGACGAGGCCGCCCGAGTGGCGGTAAAATTATCGACCATTGTTAAATTAGCTCAATCTGAAAACCTCAGTGTGAACTTCGAAATACCTGCAATTTCATAGGTAACAAAAAAATAATTGATAATATATTACTAAGACTATTTTTGCCGAGAATATGTACTCAATTGTTAAAAGATTTCAGGAATGTCTGAAAGTAATAACTACAGTAATAACTTTATATGCGTAATGTATTCTCGTCAAAGAGTAATATTTTACACAATTTGACTTTTTGCGTAACTTTACAGAAAGGGAAAAAGAATAAAAAGTAGAATAGTTTTGAACAAGTCTGTGACATACAAAAATGATACGACTGAAGATATGATAAAACGAAATAATGTATTGTTTTGTGTGTGTGTGTGTGTGTGTGTGTGTACGCACACATACACATACATGTATATATTTATAGTAATCTTTTTCTTTAATACAGTCGCGAACAT